TGTGAGGCATAAGGAACGTATTGTCAATTTTTCCCCCTTTAACATGTTGCCAAGAGAGAGGGGACTCAGTCAATCAACCCATTCCTGAGAGATAGAAAGAACTGCAGTTGCTGGAGTCAGAGATAACACAGTGTGGAGCGGGAGGAACACAGCAGGCTAGGCAGCATCAGAGGAGGAGGAAAGCCGACGTTTTGGGTCGGGAACCCTCTTCAGAAATGGGGGAGGGGGAAGGGAGCTCTGAAATAAATAGAGAGAGGAGGGTGGGGCTGGGGAAGGTCATTGGGATGGTGATAGGTGAGTGCAGGTAGGGAGTGGTGGGGATTGGTCAGTGAGGTGAGAGGAGTGGATAGGTGGGAGAGAAGATGGACTGAGTTGCATATCCACAAATTTTTGGTAAGTCCTTGTCAATCTCCACTGCACCCTCTTCAGTCACTTTATCCTTTTCCTTGTACGTCAACCAGAACTGCGTGAAGTACTCTAAATGCACTTTAACAAAGATCTGATTTTGCATCGAGATTTAGCATAACTTTCATGCTTTTCAATTCTATTCCGCTAGAAATAAAGTCTGCTGCTTGTTTTTTTTATATCAGGCATTTTTAACTGCTGTGGCACTTTACAGTGATTGAGTCCATCTGTTTTATGCCGTCTTAAGTAACCATACTCATTGATTGTTAATTTTAAATATTAGAATGTCTGAAGATGTCTTTCCAAAGATTTATTTAAAAGGATTCGCTAATTAATTAAAGTGCTCGTTAATTATCAAAAATATGTAATGTTCAGACACAGCATGTTCAGGGTGCTGATGTGTTCTTGTGTAACACAACAAAACAAGCAGCATTGAAAGACTGAGACCAAGCTTTGCACCATTAGAAAGAGGGCATGCATTGTGGCAAAATAGAGAATTCCAAGTCCCAGCCCTGAACAGGGCTTTACTGGTTGTCACCACTGCAAGACTGGGAGCAGACTGTAGTTCAGGTTCCCAGAAGCAGCTGGCCTTTTGTTCGTTTCCAATTCATTCATGGAATGTGGGCTTCTTTGCCTGTTTGATCCCTAGTTTCCCTTGAGACGCTAGCAGTGAGCTGCCATCTTCAACTACTGTAATCCATTTGGTGTAGGTACACCCACAATGCCGTCAGGGAGGCAAGTCCAGGATTTTAACCCAGTGACAGTGGTCAGAATGGTGAGCGGCTTGGAGCAGATAAACTTTCCTTGTCCTTCTAAATAATAGTGACCATGGATTTGGAAGGTGCTACCTAAGGAATAGTGGTGAGTTCCTGTAGTGTATACTATTGCTGGACAAATGAGGTAATGCTTGCCGGTGCTGGAGGGAGAGAATATTTGTGGATGTGGTGCCAATCAAGGAGACTGTTGTGTCTTGGATGGTGTCCAAGTTTCTTGAGTGCTTTTGGAACTGCGTTTTTTCAAGTGTGTGAGGAGTATTCCATCACACCCCTGAATTGTGCTTTGATAATGGCTTTGATAACGAGTTGATTTGGGGAGTCAAGAGGTAAGATACTCACTGCAGGATTCCAAGCCTCTGACCTGCTCTTTGATCCACTGTATTTACATGCCTCATCCAGTTCTGTTACTGGCTAATTTTAACTGCCAAATTCTCTTGTCCGAGATGGACAACGTGAATGTTACTTGCAACTTGTCAGTCCAACTCTGGATATTGTCCAGGTCTTGCTGCATTTGGACATTGACTGCTTCAGTATCTGAGGAGTCATGAATGGTGTTGAACATTATGAAATTATTGGAAAAACTTCCCCACTTCTGCTCTTATGATAGAGCGCAGGTCATTTGATGAAGCAACTGAAGATTTTTGGCCTAGGTCACTACCCTGAGGAACTGCTGAAGAGATGTCCTGGAGCTGAGATAATTGGACTCAAGCCATCACAACCATCTTCATTTGTGACTGGTATGACTCCAACTAGTGGAGAGTTTGCCCCCTAATTCCTATTCATTCTGCTTTCGATCAGATTCTTGGACGGCATAATTGGTCAAATATTGCCTAGGTGTCAAGGACAGCCACTCTTATCTCCCCTCTGGGGTTCTGATCTTCTTTGAATCTGGGCTTTATGAGGTCAGGAGCTGGATGGCCCTTGTGGACCTCAGCATCACTGAGCAGGTTATTGCTGAGCAGCCGCTGCTTGGTAGCATCATTGATGACCTCTTCCATCACTTTGCTAATGATCGAGAGTAGACTGATGGGATGCAGTTGGATTAGACTTTTCTTTTTTCATTGTGTAATGAAAATTTGTGAACAATTTTCCACATGGTTGGGTAGATGCTAGTGTTGTGGTTGTAACAGAACAGACTGACCTTGGGCGCAACAAGTTCTGGAGCACATGTATTCTGTATATTTATGGAATGTTGTAGGGCCCATAGCCTGTCTCCAACAGTTTCTTGATATCACATGGAGCGAATCCAATTGGATGAAGACTGGCGTCTGTGAAACTGGGGACCTCTGGACAAGACTAAGATGCATCATCCATTCATTTCTGGAAAGCTATCCTTCTCTGGCAGAGGTATAGAATAAAAAATTAGGGTTATAATGATTAAACTGCATAAGGCAGGTGAAACCGCAACTGGAGTATTGTGTGCAGTTCTGGTCACCACATTGCAGGAAGGATGTAATTGCTTGGAGAGAGTGCAGAGAAGATTTATTAGAATGCTGCCAGGACTGGAGAATTGTAGTTACGAGCAGAGATAGGAGGGATTAGGCTTATTTTCCTTGGAGCAGAGAAAGCTGAGGGGCGACACGATTGAGGTATACAAAATTGTGAGGGGGAACAATAGAATAGACAGGAGGAACCTATTTCCCCTGGCAGACATGTCAAAAACCCCAGGCATCATAGATTCAAACTTAGGATAAACTCTTATACGCAGAGGGTGGTGGGTGTCTGGAATTCACTGCTGAGTTGGTGGTGGAGGCAGAGACCCTAAACTCTTTTAAAAAGTATCTGAATCTGCTCCTTGAGTGCTGTAAGCTACAGGGCTACGGACAAGCAGGAAGATGGAGTTAGAAAGGCTATCTGGGTGTCTTCAGGTCAGCATGGACAAGATGGGCCAGATGGCCCCCTTCTGTGCTGTATAACTTTGGTGGTTCTATGGTTCTATTAGATCCACTGGTGTGGATAGGAAAGGGCAAGGCATCATATGTAGGTGTATGAGTTAACACCTTTTTTTATTCATTCATAGGATGAGGGTGTCGCTGGCTAGACAGCATTTATTGCCCAGCCCTAATTGCCCAGAGAGCAGTTAAGAGTCAACCACATTGCTGTGGGCCTGGAGTCACATGTAGGCCAGACCAGTTAAGGATGGCAGTTTCCTTCCCTAAAGGACATCAGTGAACCAGATGGGTTTTTCCAACAATCGACAATGAATTCATGGTCATCATTAGATTCTTAATTCCAGATATTTATTGAATTCAAATTCCACTATTTGCCGTGACAGGATTTGAACCCAGGAACCCAGAACATTTTCTGGGTCTCTGGATTAACAGTCCAGCGATAATACCTCCTCCCCATACTTTGGGAGCTGGCATTGAGTTAGCATAGAGATTATAAGGGCCATGGGCATGATTGGGGGCAAGGGAATATCAGGGCCCCGGAGGTGGTTACAATAGTGTCACTGTAGCTATGAGGGGATATGAGGATAGATAGAGGATGTATTGGACCAGACCATACCATCTAAAAATATATTATGGAGGTAGCCTAGTCCCTGATGTTTTTTTATTTTAAAGGTAAATGTAAGGTGTTAAGTTCTAGATGCAATTTGATTAGTCAAACTACTCGACGTTAAGCAAAACACAATTTATTCAAACACTACAATTAAAATACAACAAAAGAAAAAAGGAACTTGGAATAACTTAGCTCTATTGGTAAAGTTAACAGAATAATTGATTATTTTACTACTGAACAGAAACTGTTCCAATATAGTAACATCCCATAAACACACTCTTGGCAAAAGGCAAATTCAGAAAACATATTGTCTCACATACAATTCCAGCAGCCCAGGTGGAAAAACATGAAGAGAAAACTCAGACAGAGTGTAGCATGAGAGATGTACTACAGCCACAGACCCAGCAATAACTGCTACTGAAAAACTAAGAAACTAAAGATCCTGGTTCTGTGAGAGCTTTGACACACCCATGTAAGCTGCTTTTATTGGTCCAACATTTTAAAAAAAAACAATGCTTAGCAAGCTGTTTACTTTATTGACTTTTCAAATAGACAGCTCAGTACCTCTGTCTTACAACATCACTTTAAAAAAATAAAATAAACCTTGTAAAGCCGCTGTAATGTCACAAGGGGCATAGGTTAGCATGAAGGATGTGTGAACGATTCGGGTGGTTACAATGCATTGGTTGACACAGGTTCGATGGAATGAAGCATGCAGATGGGAGCGAGAGGATGAGAGCAGAAGAGATATCTCATGTTTATCTTTATCTTTAAACATTGAACATGGCACTTGTATCCCATTGCTGGTTTTTGCCCAGACCGGCTCAGGAAGCATAACATCCTTCACTCTTCCCAGGTCAGCTAGTTAATTCTCAGCCTAATCCATACCCAAAGCCTGACAAAAAACAAGATTTGTAGGTGGACACGTTTAAAGGTTATGATTGTAGAGGCTGGATTTCTACCACCTCTACACACCTGATCCAGCAATGGAAATCAGGGCCTGAGCTTTCACAATGCAGTCTGTTTGAACCATTACACCTGAACTGGGTCTTATAAAGGTATGGAATTATCAAACATACCTCAAACATTTTGTGAATAATTCTTCAGATTTAGATTTCCATTGATTTACTTATTGAGTCAAATTTTTACTACGTTGCTTTAAACAGTCGACTCCTAATTCAAAATATTAAACGCATAAAGAAGCAGTAAATTGCACATGTGTGTACTGAAAACTATTATATGTGCTTTTTAAACTGAAAGGGTGTTCTACATTGTTAAAGAAGGAAGAAAAAGCATCAATACAGATGGTACGCTAACCTATACCAATGAAGGCTGCTTCATATCCATCTCGCTTCAACGTGTCCAGAGTCATTCCTCCAATTCCCAAACGTTTGCCAAAGACAATCTAACAGGATCATAAAACAGAAATGATTATGTGCTTTTGCATTCATACATACTAGTGTTCTTTTAAATAAAGAAACAGACCATGATATAAACCCTCAAATAAAGGCAAAAAATTGTGAATGCTGGAAATCTACATAAACACAGAGAATGCTGGAGAAACTCAGCAGGTCTAGCAGCATCTGTGGAGGGAGAAATGCAGTTAATATTTTCAGTCTGGTATGACTCTTCTGCAAACCAGCTGAGTGTATCCAGCATTCTCTATCTAAGTTAAGAGACAACAAGGTGTAGAGCTGGATGAACACAGCAGGCCAAGCAGCATCATAGGAGCAGGAAGGCTGACGTTTCCGTCCTAGACCCTTCTTCAGAAATGGGGGAGGGGAAGGGGGTTCTGAAATAAATAGGGAGAGAGGGGGAGGCGGATAGAAGATGGATAGAGGAGAAGATAGGTGGAGAGGAGACAGACAGGTCAAAGAGGCAGGGATGGAGCCAGTAAAGATGTGTAGGTGGGGAGTTAGGGAGGGATAGGTCAGTCCAGGGAGGACAGACAGGTCAGGGGGCGGGATGAGGCTAGTAGGTAGGAGATGGGGAGGGGGCTTGAGGTGGGAGGAGGGGATAGATGACAGGATAAGCTGGGCTGGTTTTGGGGTGCAGTAGGGGGAGGGGAGATTTTGCAGCTTGTGAAGTCCACATTGATACCATTGGGCTGCAGGGTTCCCAAGCGGAATATGAGGTTCTGTTCCTGCAACCTTCGGCTGGCATTGTTGTGGCACTGCAGGAGGCCCAGGATGTACATACTGTCCGAGGAATGGGAGGGGGAGTTGAAATGGTTCGCGACTGGGAGGTGCAGTTGTTTATTGCGAACCGAGTGTAGGTGTTCCGCAAAGCGGTCCCCAAGCCTCCGCTTGGTCTCCCCGATGTAGAGGAGGCCACAACGGGAACAGCGGATACAGTATACCTCATTAGCAGATGTGCAGGTGAACATCTGCTTGATGTGGAAAGTCTTCTTGGGGCCTGGGATGGGGGTGAGGGGGAGGTGTAGGGTCAAGTGTAGCACTTCCTGCGGTTGCAAGGAAAAATGCCGGGTGTGGTGGGGCTGGAGGGGAGTGTGGAGCGGACAAGGGAGTCACGGAGAGAGTGGTCCCTACGGAAAGCAGATAAGGGTGGGGAAGGAAAAATGTCTTTGGTGGTGGGGTCGGATTTTTTCCGGAGGTTGGTGGGGTGGTACGTGAGGACGAGGGGGATTCTGTTTTGGTTGTTATTGCGGGGAGGGGGTGTGAGGGATGAGTTGCGGGAAATGCGGGAGACACGGTCGAGGGCGTTCTCGACCACTGAGTAGGGGATGTTGCGGTCCTTGAAAAACGAGGATATCTGAGATGTTCGGGAGTGGAATGCCTCATTCTGGGAGCAGATGCGGCGGAGGCGAAGGAATTGGGAACAGGGGATGGCATTTTTGCAGGAAGGTGGGTGGGAGGAGGTGTATTCTAGGTAGCTGTGGGAGTCGGTGGGCTTGAAATGGATATCGGTTTCCAGGTGGTTGCCAGAGATGGAAACAGAGAGGTCCAGGAAGGAGAGAGAGGTATCAGAGATGGTCCAGGTGAACTTAAGGTTGGGGTGGAAGGTGTTGGTGAAGTGGATGAACTGTTCGAGCTCCTCGTGGGAGCACGAGGCGGCGCCGATACAGTCATCAATGTAACGGAGGAAGTGTCATGATATCAACATTGTGGCTCCAAGATCGGATGAGAGGTTTGTAATTCCATGACAAGTAACTCATATCTTGCCTTCCCACAGCTGAGCCGTCACATACAAAGACACATGAGCGTAGACACATAATACAGTCCTATCCATTTACTTGGATGTGTGCAAATGTTCAAAACCTTCAACACCATCCAATACGTAGCAGCCTGCTTGACCGGTACCTGATCTACCATCTTCAATACTCCCTCCAATTGATGCACTGACAACAGGTATGTGCCAATGACAAGACAGTACTGAAGTAACCCAGCAAGGCTCCTGAAACAACAGCTTCCACTACGTATCATCTAGAAGAAAAGGGCTACAGATACATAGGAAAAGCATCATCTGAAAGTTCCATTCCAAGTCACACATTATCCTGACTTGGAACTATGTTACATTCCTTCACTGTCTCTGAGTCAAAATCCTGGATCTTGCTTCTAATCAGTACAGTGAGTGTACCTACACTATATGGACTGCAGTGGTTCAAGATTGCAAGTCACCATTATTTTTTCTAGGGCCATAAGGATGGGCGATAAATGCTAGCACAGCCAGCGATGTTCATATCCTGTGAACAAATACATTGAAAGAATACTGCCATACTTTTCCACATTACAAAATTTTCTAAAAGTAGATGTCATTATTTCCTTAAAAATGTTTAAACACTCTGCTACAATTAAATGGAATGTAGACTTTATGATTGCAATATTCAAATGTAAGAATTTTTTTTACATTGAAACATACTGAGAATATTGACCTGATATGGATGTAGGTGCTGGATTTGTTGTGGAAAGGTGATAGCTATGATTTTGCTTTATATACACATTAACTGTAAAATCACATTTGGAACATCATTTGACTAAACAAAACTGATCTTTTAAAATATTAAATTCAGTTACTTTCTTCCTCGTTATTCAACAGTGAAATGTAAAACTAAGCTACAAGTGCAGTTCAATTAAAAGAAAACAATTTTTAATTGATTATGCTGAATACATTCAACAATTTAAGAAATTGTTTCTTTCAGATAATTAATCACATGCTGTCAAATCAAGACAGAACTATTGATTGCCCTTTCCTGTGCTGGTGGCATTCAAACCACAGACAAACAAATGCTCCAAACAAAATCAGGTATCCTTCCCAATGTGACAATTCTGTGACTTTTAATTGTGCTTTGCTAATGTATGTGACATTTCACTGTTAATCTTCAGTGAACTTCAAGTCATTCTTCATGCTCTTTGCATGTAAGATAATTGTGTTATTCCATTACCTTCACACCAAGGTCTTTCATCAGCTTGATCTCAAACTTGACAACATCATAAGGCAATCTGTATTGAGGTATCTCTGACGTGCTATAAGAAAAAAGAAAGGAAAGTAAGTTTCATTTTTTCTTGATTCCTGCAAAGGGTTTCTTTAAATACAAACCCACTTTTATCACACTTCTGTTTCTTAAATTTAAAACAGCATCATTTTTGTTGTCAAGAAAGAACAACAGTTTATGAATTTCAAAACTTGATTTAAAATCTCACAAAACTAAAAGAAATGTTCGTTTTAAGTTGACTACCTTTTTAGAAGTTTCAAAAGACATACCAATAATGTGCTTAATGTTTGTGCTTTAGTCATAAACTTCTATAAATTGGTGTCTTAATTTGTAGAATTTGTATGTCTTATAAGCAGCAAAGTCTGAAATAAAAACAAAACAAAAATGGAAATACTCAGCAGATCCATGCAACAGGTATCGTGTGTGGAAAGAAAGAGTTAAAATGTCAGGTCATCATGACCTTTCATCATGTAGTAGTCTAGTGGGTGCTGCAATTGGTACCCTGTCTGCGATTTAAAAAGAAATGGGCAGTTGAGCTTGTTTACAATTGATCTTAACGGTGTGCTGTCCAGGCTGTTACGTAGTTGATAAGAAAGGCAAGCTGCTGTTTTTCCCCAATTGGTGAAAAAGCATGAAGGATAGAGAGGTACCTCCTTTGAGGGCACAAAACATAGGACATCGAACATAGAACAGTACAGCACGTTACAGGCATTTCGGTCCACGATGTTGTGCTGACTTATTATCCTACTAAGATCAAACTACCCTGTATACCCGACATTTTACTGTCCTCCATGTGCCTATCCAAGAGTCGCTTAAATGTCCCTAATGTATCTGACTCCACAACCACTGCTGGCAGCGCATTCCACACACCCACCACTCTCTGTGTAAAGAACCTACCTCTGACATTTCCCCTATCCCTTCCTCCAGTCACCTTAAAATTATGCCCTCTCATAATAGTCATTTCTGCCCTGGGAAAAAGTCGCTGGCTATCCACTCTATCCATACCTCTCATCATCTTGTAAACTTTTATCAAGTCATCTCTCATCCTTCTTTGCTCCAATGAAAAAAGCCCTAGCTCCCTCAACCTTTCCTCATAAGACCTGCCCTCCAGTCCAGGCAGCATCCTGGTAAATCTCCTCTGCACCCTCTCTAAAGCTTCCACATCCTTCCTATAATGAGGTGACCAGAACTGAACACAATATTTGAAGTGTGATCTAACCAGAGTTTTATAGGGTTGCAGCATAACCTCGTGGCTCTTAAACTCAATTCCCCTGCCAATGAAAGCCAACACACCATATGCCTTCTTTACAACCCTATCAACTTGGGTAGCAACTTTGAGGGATCTATGGACAAGGACCCCAAGATTCCTCTGTTCCTCCACACTGCCAAGAATCCTGCAATTAACCCTGTATTCTGCATTCAAATTCGACCTTCCATTCAGAACTGAGATGAGGATGAATTTCATCACTCAGAGAGATGTGAACCTATGGAATTCTCTACCACAGAAAGCTGTTCATTAGATATATTCATAAGGGATCTGGATGTGGCCCTTGCATTCAAATTCGACTTTCCAAAATGAATCACTTCACACTTTTCTGGGTTGAATTCCATCTGCCACTTCTTTGCCCAGCTCTGCATCCTGTCAATGTCCCGTTGCAACTTACAACAGCCCTCCACACTGTCCACAACTCCACCAACCTTTGTGTCATTGGCAAACTTAGTAACCCACCCTTCCACTTCCTCAAGTAGTCATTTATAAAGATCACAAAGAGCAGAGATCCCAGAACAGATCCCTGCAGAACACCACTGGTCACCAAGCTCCAGGCTGAATACTTTCCATCTACTACAACCCTCTGTCTTCTATCGGAGGACCAGTTTTGTATCCAGACAGCCAAATTTCCCTGAATCCCATGCCTCCTTACTTTCTGAATGAGCCTACCATGTGGCACCTTGTCGAATGCCTTGCTAAAATCCATATACACCATATCCAAAGGTCTACCTTCATCGCTGTATTTTGTCACATCCTCAAAGAATTCAATAAGGCTTGTGAGGCATGACCTGCCCCTCACAAAGCCATGCTGATTATTTCTAATCAAACTGTGCTTTTCAAATAATCATAAATACCATCGCTCAGAATCCTCTCCAGCAAAGTGCATATTGGCAGCACTGCGCTCCAAGATGGAATCCGAACCATAACTTTGTGCCACCCTTGGCCTCCAACACCTGACTGTCCATCACTCCTTAAGTTACCCAATCTATTCTTGTCCAAACTTCCTGAACTTACTAGATTCCAGAATCTAATGTCCTCTGCATCTGTTACTACTTTATCTGCTGCCACTACAGAGTTCTGGAACTGTTGGGACTGCAACCAGTGGCAGCTAATCAGATTAGGAAGACATTTTTTAAAAAATCCTTGTACTAGATGTGGACATCAGTGTCGAGTCCAGTATTTGTTGCATATCCCTAATTGTCCTCTTACTGAGTGTTAAGCCATTTCAGAGGGCAGCTAGGAGTCTACCACAAGAGTCACATACAGGACAGATGTGGTAATGGCAAGCTTCCTTCCCCAAAAAAGCATTAGTGAAGTAGATGGATTTGTGTGAAAATCAACAAGTCACCTGGCCACTACTAAAACTAGTTTTTTTATTGTAGCCATTTATATATTCTCATTGACTTCAAATTTCACCATCTGCCACTCCAAAGTCAGGCAGAGCAAGCTAGGTGTAAAATCAAACATTCTTTTCAACCATGGCATGCCTGAGTTTCAATATCAAAGAGCGTCAGTATAAATTTTCTTCCATTTTACACATTCCTCATCATTGATGATGCATTCAATCAAATTATGGTTATTCATAGCATGACAAAGTAGCACAACTCCACACAACTAACATATTGATAGAATGCTATGTGGTTGTAGTAACAAATGGTTTAATATGATGGGCTTTTTTGTTTTATGGCTTGGTCAGAGATTTCACTTATTTTAAATATAGCTTGACTTTTGTGAAAATTTCAAAGGTGGCTCATGTGAGCATATTATACTTGTCTGTTCAAAATATCAAATTCCACAATATCATTAGGCAGAATTAAACCTCACAGTATGTAAAACATATGCCAGAGATTTGAGTTGAAGTGTATTGAGTACATTGCACCGAGTGTTAACATGTATGATGAGACAACTTTTCAATGTTATGGAATGGAGATACCAGTATATCCACTGTTATATTTAGCCTTATTCTATTTTATTGAGTTGCTGATGTAAAAGCAACATCAGGCCAGCGAGTTTGTACAAACATCATGAACCTTTATGATTGATCGATGAATGATACCAATCATACCATGAAGTGATAAGAACAAATTAGCTATCTGTTGTTGGATCACCTCCCAATTCCCAATTGCAGGAGGAAATTTTCATAAGATAATTGAATTCTTGTAAGCATCACTTCAAGATCTAACAGAATCTCAAATGCAAACAGTGCAACTGTATCTTTGTTTGTTGAATGTTTCACAACTCCAGGGACAAAATGTTGGTTCGCCACTGGTATCAGATAAAGGCTACGAAATATGGCTCTTCAATGCAGCTAGGAGTGCCAATCTAGACACTAAAATGTAACTATGCTATGCATGCTTATTTCTGCTGCAAGCCATGACAGGCACTATTTTCATCAACATGCTACTGTGTGCTAAAGAAGCACTTGCAAGACAAATGCAGAGGTAGTTTGTGACATCAATCAATGTGCAATGCCAGCTGTGCTCAACTCCTTCAATTGATTACACACAACTGAACATATACTCAGCAACAGGAGGGCCATCAGCCTGTTAAATTTCACTGCTTAGGGAAGGGTTAAATGGATGACCAACTCTTTACCAATTGGTTGCTGTTTGCTTTTTAATTCTTTCTTGCTGTAATTGCAGACAACAAGACTCCTTCAAAGTTACCTCAGTTGTGGAGAGTGCTGAAGGACGAGTTCAAATACTCAGCTCAATCTACTTTCTCCACCATCTGCAGCTTGTAAATCAGAAAAGATTACACGTAGAGAAGAAACTAGAGTGTGAGAAGGAGATTTACCTATAATTATAGCAACTTCTTCCATGGTTTCAGCCAATCTGCTGTCCATATCCTCAGCAATGGCCATTCCAATGATGGCAAGCATAATTTCTTCCACCTTGGATAAGGACATGCAGCCATGCTCGTCTGGTTCTGATTAGGGCCTGTTGACTCTGGCTATGTAACAATTACTCTTGTAAACGAAACTGAGGTATATTAGTGAGACCACTGTAATTTATTTAAGGATGTAGCAGCCTGGTTGAATAACTACGTGTCTGTGCATGTTGTGAGATGTGGGTTTGAGGCTTTGAGTAGTGTTAAACGTGTGAGGGCATGTGGCAACTGTGAATAATAGGTGTGGGTCATGATTGACAAAGGTTTTTGGTAGGTGAGTAATGAGAGGTTGGATTAGTGCATCAAGCAGTTGGTGAGTTTAGTATAGCAGTTATGGAGAGATGACTTTTTTGAAGATATCTTCACTGACTTTGACTGGCCATGTTAGGTCATTGAACTTATTTGTTGTTTGACTCTGGGCATTAACTTCATGGGGATAAGGTCATGTAGGTACCTCTGACCTTACCACTTATGTGGCTCTCCTGTCTTTGCAAGGTATGTGCAGGGCCTCCAACCTCCTTGTAGATGATCATTGCTCTTATTATATTCACCTCATTCATCAAAATGCCAAGTGCAGCTCTGGATCGCCCTGGAGCACTCTCTCCCCAGTTGCACTATGATTTATTATTCTTGCAGCTCTTTCCAAAGAACAGTTCCAACAAATACTGCAGCCAGAACTCACTGCCTATTTGAGAGCTTTAAGAGATGCAAAACTCTCACAAACCTAAATCTCCTCCCAAAGCATGCAGTTACTCAAATGATGCATTTAGCATCATTTGCTTGCATTCAGACATGCAAATTAGCAAGTGTTTGATGTGCCGCCAGCATTGAAATCAAAATGCATGGGGTAGTTACTCATCACAACACTGTGATCAAGGGTTGCCCAATCCTGCATCCCTGCCACCAAAATTCTATACTCAAATTTAAATGTTTTGGGGAACATTAAGATGAATGGGGAAAATGTGTAGAAAATTTATAAAAACTAATCAAAAAACGTTGTAAGTCCTTCAGCTACCTTTACTAAAGCTGAACAATTTTAAAGAGGCTGGGATGAAGGGAAAGGGTCCTTAACATGAAGACATGAGTCTGCAGTTGTGGCAATGTAGCTCAACGTTTCAACGGCTTTGAAGTCAAGTATCAGATGTTGGCAAACGTTGAGTGCTGCACCAAGACCTGCTCACTTGGTCAGCTCTCGCGAGATGCCTGCAAGAAGGTGCAGCCAAGATTCAGGCTACAGTTGACTTACTCCTGTCCCTGCAAGCACGTAAGCTTTATGCTGCTGGTAGTCACTGGTGATCTTACAGCAGATGGCACAGCTTGGCATCCTCCCCTCTGCTGACTCAGAGTCAGAGAAAGGAAAGTTACTGCAGTCATTCCCTGCTGGGTTTTCCACAGCCTGCAGAAATAGTTACTGGCAGCTTGGTAGGCAGCTCCAAATGGGCAAAGCCGATCACTTTGGCGCACCCACTTCCATGCAAATCCATGTAAAACATGACACGCTGTGATTATGATGATTCTGAAGAGTGTTCCAGCATAAAGGCGATGTGTGTACTTCTAATTAAGATCTCACCTAAAGCTACTGTTTAGTTGTCATTGGGAAGAGAAGCCTTGATCCACAATATTTGCCACAATGACATTTGCTACTTCACTGTGCAGATATTAGGGTGCAAGTGCAGGACGATGGGCTGGAATCACCTCTTGAGCCATTTGACATTCTTGGCAACTTTCTTGGCCCATTTTCCTCTAATCATATCTTCACCACCAATTCCTGATTTCAGATCTTCAGGTGCCAATAAAGAAAGCAACTAAGATAATGAATAAGTATTTACACCTTATACAAAGGCTCGTGACAGTCCAAGTGCCAGCTTAGACGAGGCATGTATTAACCGTTAAAACTTATGTGCTTTTTATAAACTTTTCTGCCTGTAGCTACAGCTAGACGTCAAAGATTCATTGCTGTAATCAAGACTCTGTACCTAATAGGGCTCTATCTGCTTATGTTCATGAAGCTACATTGAGGCATCAAAAGCCTGCCTCCTCTTCACGTAGAAGTGAAGAAGCGGGAAACTGGAACTACTGATTTTCATCAGCTCACTACTGCTACAGGACACATATTGAACCAATAATGTCAACAGAGCAAAAGTGCACAGTATCACATCATTAGATTGAGTCCTACAGTAACTATCTGCTAATTAGTGAGTCAATATGATAATCCATGTAAAAACCGAAAGAACTGCGGGTGCTGTAAATCAAAAACAAAAACAGAAGTTGCTGGAAAAGCTCAGGTCTGGCAGTATCTGTGAAAAGAAATCAGAGTTAACATTTCAGGTCCGGAGACCCTTCTTCAGAACTGCAATCCATGCAATTAGAATCTAATTTTTGAGGTATAATGAGGAATAAAATATCCAATCTAGCCCTGCTTTGTCCTGGAAAGTTAAAGGATATTTAAATATTTCTGAACCTGCAAGATGCCAGGCAATTTTCAGATGTCCCTCGTGGCTTCAAACCACATAAAGGAGGTATTAAACCCCTTGTATGCTTTTACAATGGGCCTAGCTGTGTTTTCAGGACTCCTTTCTTAAATACATCAGAGTGAAGCAGAGATAAACCAGCATGCTCTCTCAGGCCCATTTCAGTTTGCCAATTCAGTAATCAATGGACACAATAAAAATGCATTGCTTTTAGACTTCATGCATTACAGCGGGTCACTACAGGCTCTTGCTAGCCTCTCCCTTCTATGTGAAGAACACTAGGGAAATTGTGAGACAGAAATAGACCACCAAAACCATGGCAATGAGGTTTGATGTCAAATTTTGGAAGAGCCTTGGGCCAGAGCCTCAAGATCCAAAGTGGACCTACACATATTGCTATGCCAGTAAATGTGGAGCTGTTTCCCTTTATAATCTTTTAGGATTATGGAATAGTTTAACAGAATATACTTATCTTGCTAAGAATATGCATATTTGTCCTAAAACAGTGTTTATTTATTTTATAGCATTCATTTTAATACAGCTGCAGATGCATATGAAAGTTGTTAGATGCAATTTTTTTTGTAAGATGTCATCAGAAAAGAAGCGACATATTTTGCACTGTGCTGATAATGATCACAAATGGAATTGCAATTGTTTAAAATTCAAAGCAGCTAGATACTATTGTTTCACCATTTCACATTTGCTGAACATTGTTGATAACACAATTTAGCATTGCACTTTTGAGATTTGTGTGATTTACTTTTAGGCCTCAATCCCTTGTTAAATGTGCAATTTAAAATGAGTGGCCATTATAATGTTTAGCGAAAAAGATAAGTTTTAATGTAAAAGATAATCAATGGTGATTACATTTTAGGATAAAGTTATTATGTACTCTCGCACTGGCATAAAATGATTTTGGATGTATAATATGTAAAGCACACTAAAAGCTAAGCAGTACTAGAACCCCTCCAAGAGTTCACTTTATTCTGCTTTGAGTATCAACAGTTTTACTGTGAGGTCAGAAATGGGAAAAATCACATTTTAAAAGTACATAAAAAACTATTGGGTCCCTGGAACTTTTTATTTAAGAAAAGGACTTTACATGAAATCTGTTTCAACATTTTTAGAATGTAGACTTTTCTTCCCAGCATTAAAAATTAGCAACTGGAGGAATGGAGCTCCATTCATGTATCATAGCTACATGCACAGATTTCTTTATCTATTTTGTCATCTGCGCATCACAGCTAGCAAGGATGGGTCTCAGATTGGTAACTACTGTATAACTGCAGTGTTAAGTGAACAGGAGAGAAAAACATGTGCATCTGTTCTTTCTGATCCTCCAAAATGTCAGCGGTATTGGGAGGTTGGTCATATATATGGAGCTCTGGTTGTGTGACAATACTGTTGCACACATGCAAGTTTCATGGAAGAGGAAATCAAACAAAAGTAAATGATTCAAATTTAACATATAGCCCCTAGCAACTGTATTATAATATTTATTTTAAAGACATAACAGCATATGGACACCTTAAAACAGGCTCAATTTAAATGTAACTGTGATCTAGTATAATTTGTGACTATTAGCACAATTCTAAACAATTAAGTATATTATGATTAAATAATTAGGAGATTTGTTCCGTCCTAACTCTTGAACAAGTACAATGCATTCTTGATGTGGGAGAAAAGAGATGGTGAATAATTGAAGGCAATTTTTTTTGTCAACAAGAAAGTGTTTAGATTTGCAGTGCATAGTTTTACTTGCAGATAATAACATCAGTTGACAGAAGTGCAACATAAAAACTCCAGGCAGCTTGCACAACTTTGCATGACTTCTCAGTTTGACTACTGTTACAACAGCAAATTACAAAATATACCTCAAACCTCCCAAATATTCGTGTTTTTCAAATATTGTGATGTCTGAATAGCCCAATCGAGCTAAAAAAGAAGCACAACTGATACTGGCAGGTCCACATCCAATTAGGGCTATTTTAGCATGGAAGCTCTCAGGTAATTCTTCAGAAGGTGGAAATGATGGATTCCGAATCTGAGGAATTTTCATCTCTTTGAACACCTAAGTATAGGAAAGAATGAAATGTTAGAATTTATAATGTGTTCTGTTCTGTTTCATCAAAATACATTTGAAAAACTAATGATTCTCAATTGTTTTTGCAGGAATGGAATTGGTTGAATATATGTAAGGGCATATCATGTTGAACATGTATACCATGTCTATTTTACGATCACGTACACACAAAATAATCAATTATGGAAAAATATTTTGGCGAGCGACTCTATAGGTATCGTCATAATAGTGTCCCTCTAAAACTATCGATTCATTTTAAAGGTTAAACATCAAATGTCAAAAGGCTTTGAAGTAACCTCATGCATGTAAATTATGCTTTGAATGTTGGGTTCAGGAAACAAGCAGCAACATCTAAGTCCTAAGCATGAAAGAACTATTTGATCTCAGTGAACAAAGCATCCATGTTGTCCTCACCTCCCCAGTAATAGCATGTTTCACCAGATTCTAATCGAGAGGGTTCTATTCCATTGGGGAACATGATGTTAATTTCTTCATCTTGATAGTTCCATTAGTGATTGTACTGAGATAAGGGTTGGTTGGAACTAAGTGAGCCTGTCAAACAGCATGTGAACCCACCATGACAATGAGCAGCTACAAAGGTGAAAAAAAAAGTGACTTTGTGTCTGGAAGAGCTCTGAGACAACAGATATGTTAACTCTTCCGTGTCAGAGAAATGTAAATTTTGGTGCTTTTTTGTCATTAATGTGGCAACATAAATTGAATGGCTGAAGCAAAAATTGTGACATCCTGTGGCAAGCAGTCTGACACCTGCAGGACTGTAAAACCACATTTCAAAATCTTAGGTATTTTCATTTAGGTTTCTGGAAATAAAATAGAACATCACTGACACTTGTGTACTTACTACATCGAAAATTAACCTCAAGGTACAGTAAACCGTGTTTTGGCATGCAGTAAGCCATCAGGATTCTCCAGTTACTAAGTTCAGTGTGAGATAGAGTCACGACTCAGATTTATCAACGGAGCAAAAATAACAGATATTGTTCGAAGAATAGTGTGGTACAATTGCAAACTTAAACCCATTTCATTGTTTCAATAAATATTTACCTTGATTTTATTGAAAGACAATAACCTGCATTTAAATGTTGCCTTTAATGTAGCAAGGGACTTCACAGGAGGGTAATCAGTCAAAATGTGTCTCCACAGGAAGGTAATCAGTCAAAATGTATCACTGAGCCATGTAAAAATGAATTAGGAGAGGTGACCAAAATCTTGGTTAAAGAGGTAGATTTCAAATAGCATCTGTGATGGTGGAGTTAGATGTAGAGAGGCTTACAGAGAAATTCCTGTCTTGTGTGTTTTTTAAGATTAAGATAAAGCTTAACCCACGTAAGTGTCATGGTGATATTTTTAGATATTACAAGCTGACTTTGATATTTTGGAGCTTCAAAAATAATCAGCAAAGAACTATTAATGACAATCATGTGGTAGTGCACTTCCCTGGCAGTTTATATCATGGAATCATAGATTCCCTACAGTGCAGAAGCAGGCATTTTGGCCATTGAGTCCACACAGACACTCTGAAGAGCATCTCACCCAGAGCCATCGCCCCCTTACCTTATCCCTGTAACCCTGTATTTCCCATGGCTAATTCACACAACCTACACATCCCTGGACACTATGGGAAATTTAGCATGGCCAATCCACCTAACCTGCACATCTTTGGACTGTGGGAGGAAACTGGAACACCCGGAGGAAATCCATGGAGACATGGGGAAAATTTGCAAATTCCACACAGACAGTCGGCCGAGGGTGAAGTCAAACCTGGGTCCCTGGTGCTGTGTGGCAGCAGTGTTGACCACTGAGCCACCATGCCACCCCATATGGTTACAAAGTCAGAAAATGAATTCCCAAAAAACAACTAACTCTTTGATTTTTCAGTTTTAGGTGCTCATGGACTGTTCTTGTTCTTTGATTTTATTTCTACATTAGGGATTAAATGTCATACAGCAATTCAACCACATGTTTCAGCAACATACCTGAATATGTCTGTATGTAGCTATTAAAATGTTGTTGCATTGCTGAAACATATTGTGGCATTTGGAACTTAAGGCTGGATATGTAGGCACCAACCAGTATAGAGGTAGATAGGTCTGAAATTTTGTCCCACAGAATATTTGGTGGTTTGCACACACCATCTTACCCCTGGGCCATTTTCCTGGAATACAGAATCATGATATACATGGGCAGAATCTTATTTATTTTTCCATTAAGTACAAGTAGTGTTGAGTTTGTTGCTGTGAAATTTGTTGTAGGGCTGAGCAAGCTGTCTCACCACATCTTACCAAACCCATGTAGTTGTAATTCAGTAAAGGTGTGACTAGATGCCCAATGCGTAGTTGTGTGTGATATTTCTCTTTGTAGTCTCTGCCTTCTTTTTTATATAAGAAAGTAGAATGCAGTGCAATGTTTGCTTATTTCTCATCCCGGTTTTACTTCTCTCTCACGATATTTTCCCCCTTTTTTGGTCATGTTTCCCTTTAGCTTTCATGCTGTTACTCCTTTAATGACCCTATTTCCTTAAAAAAATGTTATTTTAAGAATTATAGGCTTCTAATTTAAGAATTGTAGACTTGTAGTTGCAGACTTATGCCTGTTAGTGGCGTTCATAACGAATAAGGAATGATGACATCACATGAGTATTTTGAAAGTTTTTGCACCAATCTGAAGGAAGAAAATGGAAAAACCAGCCAAGATCTGGACATAATAAGACTTTTTAATGTAGATAATCAAGCTTTTTGGTGTTTTAAAGCCATATTTTCTTTAGGAGCCGTGTGGAGCTCTGCATTTAGGATCACTTAACTGTTTTTCTTTAATAAAATCAATACAGCAGGCTTGTGTTTCATTTAGAGAGAGGTAGAGTGCTCACTGTGTAGTTTTTAGTATTATTTGCATTTGTAAATTCAGTTATTTCATCTTTAAGTAAAGACACATAACTTTTTTTAAAGCAACTTTAGATGTTAATCAAAAAGAAATTAGCTCTACCTTTTTGCATGTCAATGCCCTATCTATATAGATCTGCATGGCTGTCTGTACTCGCAGAAACTGATGCTGTTGGTTTCCAAATTCTCAGATGCCCACAACTATTGTTCAGTTGATCTTCAATTAGTTCTCCAAATATTTGTCATCAAGGTTTTGAGTCACTCTTATTTTTGCCTCTAGCAGGGTATTTATCTAATGTAGCAACACTTATGTTCTCCCTTACAGCATAACAAACTAGCCATGGATGACATGGTATTGAAGAATCCAACAGACATTTATCACAACTCTATAATATATACAATCATTATATCTTTAAAGCACATCAGTGATTGGGCTAATATCAAGATATTAGCAATAACAAATAAACATGCTTATGGTAGCATGTCATTGCTTCATGTGATCTCTGAGTAAGAGTCCTTTGTGAATATAAGACATTTATTCAATCAGGTTACATGCAATGATACAGTGACGATATCATAAGCTTATCTGCTGGAGGTGCACTAACATACTTACTGTGAGACACAACAATTACTGGTGAAACAGAGATAGTAGGAACTGCAGATGCTGGAGAATCTGACAGGACAAGGTGCAGAGCTGGATGAACACAGCAGGCCAAGCAGCATCAGAGGAGCAGGAAAGCTGGCATTTCCGGCCTAGACCCTTCATAACTGGTGATCATGTTTGTCAGAATTGGTGCTCCTCACGATCAATAATACTCGCCATACTTGTGCAATTTGTTGGTCTCCAAAACTAGGCCTCAGATTACATGGAGGAACACAGCAGGCCAGGCAGAATTAGAGGAGCAGGACTCTGATGCTGCCTGGTCTGCTGTGTTCCTCCAGGTCCACACTGTGTTATCTCTGATTCCAGCATTGGCAGTTCTTACTATCTCAGATTACTTGGTCTTTCCGCAAGTGTGCTAGTAGCCAACTGTCACTTATTCTGGTGGCCGGATGTCCCAAGTGTGTGTGTGTTTGTTGTAGGCAGGACTAGGGTTCTGCACAGAGATGGAGTGCACTGTTGAGCAGTGTGTCATGCGAATTATGCTAGCCTGTTTGACTCTTTCACACCACTGTCCACAAAGCAGCAAGTTGAATGGCAACTTGAACTTTCTGGAGCATTCACGATCCTTGCATTTTTTGGCATTTGTTACAATTGGCTGAATGGAGAGTCATAGCAGGCTATGAGCAGAAGCTACAGCTCCATGAGAAAACAGCAATTGATAGCCTTAAGTATAATCCACAAATGTAGTATGTCAAATCAAGTAATGAAACTAAAATGCTTCATTACTAATCCTTTGCAGTTTTAAGAGAAATATAAACCTTATTATAAGACAGACTAAAGTCACAAATCAAGTCCAAGTTATTACTTGTACTTGTTCTCTAAACACTATTCATTTTGCTATTGGATTTATCACAACTATGACACCTATTATAAGCCTAATCTTCTTTCTTTATGTAAGCCTATATTTCTAATACTGAATCTGACATTTATCATGCAGATGGACTAGCTGTACAATAGGCAGCCACGATCATCACTACTTTACCAGTATTAGGTGACAGACGTTCACTGTCAAAAGCACCACATCTGCAACAACAGACACCTTACATTTGTCATTAATACTATCACTGGTTTTGCTGTGAGGTACTCCATCACATGTTACGTCAGTATGTTCTGTAAAAACCATCTTTTTTTGTCTGCCATCAATAATATAAGACTAAATAACCTTGCCATAAACTAGTTCAAGATTCACACAGCGAATTTTCATTATGACCTTTATTTAAATGTGCAGAGCCTTTAAAACAACAGAAATTCTGTAGAAGTTGAAGTAATCTCTAAAACACGGTATAATCTTCCCACTTTTTTTTGTAGAATTCACTGTAAACAAGCTTTTGTCGAAATAAAGCAGGGCCTAAATTACTTTTGGTGACTATTAGTATACGAATGCTTAATGTATTCCAACTAAATGATTTGCATTAGTGTCTCCATTAAAATAGAGAGATAAATTTGGTTGAACGTGATAAGCAATCACTTTGTGGCCATTAGTTTCTATCTTACAGCACACAATGGTGTGCTTCATGAGGTCAAAAACAGAGTACTAGTTATGTGTAGACCCAATGGGTATGTTGGCTACTCAGCAATTTCAGAATATTAATTTCAACATTGTAATTACAGTACATATAATGGTTACAAGTATTTTGATTGTATTAGCCAGTGAAGCCAGATTATTTCAACGATGGCTTACCAGAAGTAGATCAGTGTATTTTTTTTTCTCCACAACACAAGAGTTACCTCAACTTTCACAAACTTTCACAATCCATTTCAATCTCTGTGCAATTTTCAAAAAGGAAAAGAAAATGTTTCACCACATCGCTCCTCAGGGTACAGTAACTCACTTTTGAATCTTTATTGCTGCTGCTTCAAACAAGTCAGGAGGAAGTACATACAATCAATGCTGTTCCATTAGCCAACTGTCAAAAACTGATCAATCAGGAAAAATGGTTGCCAGAATTCATTTTTTTTTCAACATTAACTCCATAAAGCCACTGTTTCATTAGATCTGGCAATTCCACAAATAAAGATGCATTGACAAAGCAATGTCGTCTCCTGCATTTTTATATCTGCTTCACTTAGCAGATGATCCTTCTTTTTTGAGTGATATGAAATGTATGTGCATCATCTCTTCCAACAATGTAGCTCTTTAGAATAAACAGAAGTGAAAACAACATACAGTAAACACTAAATGCTGTGAGATCAGAACCCATGATACAAAATTTTGTCCGAAAATGTCCAGTTCTTTCTCTACATGAAAGTCACTGTTATGGTTTGACTGAATGATCAGCTATGTTGAAAACATGATTCTTCATTCAGGAAATATAAACTTATTATAATACAAGTTCATAAACATTCACTGAATAATGACCTATAACAATGGTGGGATACTCTTTACGTACCTCTGTGGCAAACTGTTGTAATCCGCCTATGTTAATTGCTCCTTCTTCAGTTGCATGTAAATTGCACCCTCCCACACAGAGGTCAGAGGTTGGGCATACCATCCCACAAGTTAGACCAAGGGGGTTGTCAGACAGAATGGCTTTGGCAGCTCCATAGTAGTTCTATTAATTAAGCGAAACACATGAAACAATAAAATTAGCTGATCATACACAAATGATCTGAGTAAACATACCAGTCTACTGTTCATTAATAATGTTTAAAACAAAGAAAAATATTTCAAAAAAAATCAGGAAAACAAGACTTGTTATTTGCAGAGCAAAGAATTGTTTTAAAAGCTGCAACAACATAAAAATAGCAAAGCTGACCAGAAATGAGAAGATAAAAATTTGCAACAGTCCTATAAGACCATAATAAGACTGCTCTCGAGTTGAAGAGAGACAATAGGTGGTGGTTTAATGTGAGAGTCACCACGCCTCAGGCAAGGGAGAGAGGTTGAGAAGGAGAGTCCTTCATGATAATCTCAGCCAATACAGGAATCGAACACGCGCTGTTGGCATCACTCTGCATTGCAAATCAGCCAATCATTAAGATAATTTGATATGAACGTGGACGAAAACAAATTAAGAAGACAACCAGATAATGTTATATACCAAAATGCAACATAAACACAGATGTATATATCCTCACATATATATTAAAATGTACTTAATGTTTACGAAGGTAGAATCCATATTTATACTGGATCATCTATACCCTGGGAGAACCCTAAAACATTCCAGTGAGGGCATATTTTGTTCCAAGGATGGAAATGGAGATTTTAAAGTTTACACACTTTGTCAATAGTTTGAATACATATTGCACAGAATATTCTCCTCCCTGATGTAGTGAGAGTAATGATGACAAAATAAGTTGAAAATTAAAAGATCAGATCTTCAACAGAAAAAATTTTCCAGATTTTCCTCTCAAGCCATAAATTAGGACTTCACAGTCTCATTCTTGAGTGGTAACTTATTTCCATGCATTTGAAACCCTTCAAAGCCTCAACTCGTCCTTGCATTTTTGCATCCCACTTCTATACACCTCTCCTCCACTGAGAAGGAAATTTCCAACAGGTCCAACAGAGCAGGTAACCTAACAGCTGCAGCTCAACAAGTGCCTGTCACAGCCATCATGCTAACTGCTTCTTCTGCATAATGTCCCTCAACGCTCCATGGCCACCGGCCTCTTCAACCCTTCACCCATACAGGTCAGCATTGGATTTGACCTGCTTTTTGTGTACAGGACATATTTGGGCAATTTTTCACCTTGTCAGGTAGATACCAGTATTGTAACTGTACTGGAATGGCTTCACTAAGGGAGCTGTAAGTTCTGGAGTGTAAGTCTTCAGTTCCAATGCCGGAATGTTGTCAGGGCCTGTAGCCTTTGCAGTATCCAGTGTCTCCAACCATTTCTTGATATCACGTGGAGTGAATTGAATTGGCTGAAGACTGGTATCTGTAATGCTGGAGACCACTGGAGGAGGCCAAGATGGATCATCCACTTGGCATTTCTGGCTGAAGATTGCTGCGAAAGCTTCAGCCTTATCCTTTGCACTGATGTGCTGGGCTCTTCCAGCATTGTGGATGGGGATATTTGTGGAGCCTCCTCCAGTGAGTTGTTTAATTGTCCACCACCATTCACAACTGGATGTGGCAAGACTGCAGAGTTTAGATCTGATCTGTTTGTTGTGGGATTGCTTAGCTCTGTCTATCACTTTTTGTTTATGTTGTTTGGAGTGCAAGTCGTCCTGTTTGGTGGCTTCACTAGGTTGACACCTCATCTTCAGGTACACCTAGTGGTGCACCTGGCATATCCTCCTGCACTCTCCATTGAGTCTGGGTTGATCCCCTGGCTTGATGGTAACAGTTGACTGGGGGATATACCAGGCCGTGAGGTTACAGATTATGCTGGAGTACAATTCTGCTGTTGTTGATGGCTCTTAGCGCCATATGGATGCCCAGTCTTGAGTTGCTAGATCTGTGCGAAGTCTGTCCCATTTAGCACGGTGATAGAGCCACACAACAAGATGGAGGTCATTCTCAACGTGATGGCGGGACTTTGTCTCCACAAGGACTGTGCGATGGTCACTCTTACCGATACTGTTATGGACAGATGCAACTGCAGCTGGCAGATTAGTAAGGATGGGGTTAAGTATGTTTTTCCCTCTTGTTGGTTCCCTCACCACCTGCTGCAGACCCAGTCCAGCGGCTATGTCCTTTAGGACCCGACCAGCTCAATCTGTAGTACTGCTGCCACTCTTGGTGGTGGACATTGAAATCCCCCACCCAGAGTACATTTTGTGCCCTTGCCATCCTCAGTGCTTCTTCAAAGTGTTGTTCAACATGGAGGAGTACCGATTCATCAGCTGAGGGAGGACAGTATTGGTAATGAGCAGGAGGTCTCCATGCCCATGTTTAACCTGAAGCCATGAGACTTCACAGGGTCTGGAGTCAATGTTAAGGACTCCCAGAGCAACTCCCTTCCAACTGTATACCACTGTGCCACCAGCCTTGCTGGGTCTGTCCTGCTGGTGAGACAGGACATATCCTGGGCTGGTGATGCTGGTGTCTGGGATATTGTCTGCAAGTATGATTCCGTGAGTATGACTATGTCAGACTGTTGCTCTCCCAATATTGGCACTAGCTCCCCAATGTTAGTGAGGATGACTTAGCAGGGTCGACAGGGCTGTCTCTGCTGTTGTCTTTTCCGGTGCCTAGGTCAATGCCAGGTGACCCACCTAGTTTCATTTCCTTGAGACTTTGTAGCGATTGGTACAACTGAATGGCTTGCCATGTTCATTTCAGAGGGCAATTGAGAGTCAACCACATTGCTGTGGGTCTGGAGTCACATGTGGGCCAGACCAGGTGAGGGTGGCAGATTTCCTTCCCTGAAAGACATTAGTGAACCAGACGGGTTTTTCCAACAATCAACAATGATTTCACGCTGATCAGTAGATTCTTAATTCCAGGCTTTTTTATATTGAATTTCTGTGGCGGGATTTGAACTCGGGTTCCCAGAACATTAGCTGAGTTTCTGGATTAATAGTCTAGTGATAATATCACTCGGCCATTGTCATACCAGACCTTGGGCACCAATTCAGGTTGCCAACCTCTGAGGTTTAATTTAAGTTTTAGTGCAGAGGATGAGGTGGGCAGCTTGTAATGGCAGGCAGCACTGGAGTAAATCTTTCAGCCAGACAGAAAGTGGTCATGTTTCTGTATGGCACTGACTTACCTCAACATCACAGCTATCACATATGCAGAGATAACAAGGTGTAGAGCTGGATGAACACAGCAGGCCAAGCAGCATCAGAGGAGCAGGAAAGCTGACGTTTTGTGTCTAGACCCTTCTTCAGAAGCGGGGGAGGGGAAGGGGATTCTGAAATAAA